GGCCCTGAATTCTCTAAAATTATTTAATCGCCGTTCACAAGACCTACACTTCATTCTGAGGTAAAGATGAGTCAAAGATCTTCCATACACAGCCTCGGCGGCGGTGTGCAATTTTGCATTCGCCTTCTTGAGGAGATTTTTACGGTATGTACCCTATGTAACGTCCTTCACTGAACCATGCAACCTTCAGCGACTTGGATTTCTGCTATCAGATGATGGATAAGTTTTCCTAGGCGTTCGCAGAATATTACCACCAGACATTGCTGCAGAACATATCGTTCTTGGTTTACTTTGGTGGCAACACATCCCACACTCCCGTAGGCTTAGTATAGACAAAATTCCCACTAGGCCGCCCATCCCTTCAATAATTTAATTGTCATCTCCCAGATTCTGGGAGACACGTGACCGGACCCAACCAGGGTCTCTCCTCACTCGCTCCAGGGGGCGGTAAGATGAGAGACGCTGGGAACGAGGTTGGCTAAAGCCTTGGTTACAAGAGAAGCAACTCACATCGATGAGCGAGAGATGACTGGATCAAAACCTCTAAACTCAATCTGTCAATGACAGTGGGAAAGACCTCTTACGATAACTTTGTAATATCGTCAGAAGATTCTCTCACTGATTTCGTGGCAACAGGATAAACATTTAACGTGAATCCTCAGCTTGTTTCCCTCATGCCAGCTGGGGGTTTTTGACCTTGTCACGTTTAACTTGGATCATTGGTGTCTGAAATTTAATTCGGTTCCATCAGCCGTTAGCTGTGAGTACTGAACGAGGGTAAACAAAGGATATTTATTCTTAACTTATAACAACATTTTAATCCTGATTTTATTATCGACAGTGGAAGGAAGCTTCTCCAATAAAAGCTTAAGATCAAGGAAACGAAGGAGCAGCTCTACCAACTCCATCGAGTCTTGTGCACAGGGCAGCAGGAACCGCTCTGAAATCTGGGAGCCCCTGAGAAAATCAAGACGGTTGTCGGAGAACACTGCTAACCTTTGTCAGGTTGAAGACGGTGTGGTCACTGAGTCTCTATGTGATGCTGTGGCTACACAGGAAACACTTAACGTTGAAGACGTTGTGGTCACTGAATCTCCATGTGATGCTGGAGCTACACAGGATACACCCAACGTTGAAGACGTTGTGGTCACTGAATCTCCATGTGATGCTGTGGCTACACAGGAAACACCCAACGTTGAAGACGGTGTGGTCACTGAGTCATTGTGTGATGCTGTGGCTATACAGGAAACACTCAACGGTGAAGACTGTGTTGTCAGTGAATCTCTATGTGATGCTGTGGCTACACGGAAAACACCCAACGTTGAAGACGGTGTGGTCACTGAGTCTTTATGTGATGTTGTGGCTACACAGGAAACACCTAACGTTCAAGACATTGAGGTCACTGAGTCTCTATGTGATGCTGTGGCTACACAGGAAACACCTAATGTTAAGGACGTTGTGGTCACTGAATCTCCATGTGATGCTGGCGCTACACAGGAAACACCCAACGTTGAAGACGGTGTGGTCACGGAGTCTCTACGTGGTGCAATGGCTACACAGGAAACACCCAACGTGGAGGACGTTGCGGCTACACAGGAAACACCTGACGTGGAAGACGGTGTGGTCACTGAGTCTCTGTGTGATACTGTGACTATACAGGAAACACCCAACGTTGAAGACGGAGCTGTCATTGAGTCTCTATGTGATGCTGTGGCTATACAGGAAATACCCAACGTTGAAGACGGTGTGGTTGCTGAGTCTCTATGTGATGCTGTGGCTACACAGGAAACACCTGACGTGGAAGACAGTGTGGTCACTGAGTCTCTATGTGATGCTGTGGCTACAAAGGAAACACCCAACGTTGAAGACGGTGTGGTTACTGAGTCTCTATGTGATGCTGTGGCTCCACAGGAAGCACCTGACGTGGAAGACGGTGTGGTTACTAAGTCTCTATGTGATGCTGTGGCTACACAGGAAACACCCAACGTTGAAAAGGTTGTGTTCTCTCAGTCTCTATGTGATGCTGTGGCTACAAAGGAAACACCCAACGTTGAAGACAGTGTGGTCACTGAGTCTCTATGTGATGCTGTGGCTACACAGGAAACACCCAGCGTTGAAGACGTTGTGATCACTGAGTCTCTATGTGTTGCTGTGGTTACACAGGAAACACCCAACGTTGAAGACGGTGTTGTCACTGAGTCTCCATGTGATGCTCTGAGTGAAGGGAGTGAGATCAGTTCCTCCACAGGCAATGTCAGTGTGGCCTCAGAACCTTTAGTGGGAATGCTTGCATTTTCTGAGGATGATATCAATGTGCCTGTTGACAAGGTTTCTTCGCTGGCTGCACATGAGGCTGCCGAATGCTTTACTCAAGATGGGTCAACTAACATCAATGCAGGTGAGATCAGTGCACCCGTCCATGATGTCAGTGCAGTGTCAGCAGTGAGAGAGTTCTCTGAGGGTAATACTTCTCTACCTATGGAAACTTATTTTTTGTCTTTTTACACTGAATATACACGGGTCATCTGAAACCATTGACATAGAAATAATTTTTTGTAGCTTCTTTAATAATAGCTGTCGATGGTATCGATGGGGGTAAGATCGCCTCCCACAAATGATTTCAGTGCAACCTGCAGATATGGATTAAATCTTATGGGTTAACTAAATCAAACTGTTTATGGCAATGGGATGTTCATGGGCTGGCTAAAGCGTTGGTTTCAGGAAAAGCAACTTACATTTATGAGCTTGAGATCACTGGATCTTCAAATGATGACTGTGAAACCTCAAATCTTTTAGTGGCAGTTTGAGAGAGCTCTTGCGATAATAAATTTCGTTTTAACGTCTGAGGACTGTTCCACTGAGGTCGTGGCAAGAGGTTAAGCATTTAACATGAATGAGAGTGAGATCAGTACGTCGACAGATTTTTTGCTTCCTGCCAGTTGGGATTTTCAACTTTGGCATGTTCAACTTGAATTATTGGTTTCTGAAATTTAATTATTTGGATCCATTAGCCGTTGGCTATAAGTACTGAAAAAGGGTAAACAAAGGTTATTTATTTTTAATTTATAGCATTTTAATCCTGATTTTGTTATCGACAGTGGAAGGAAGCTTCACCAATAAAAGCTTAAGATCAAGGAAACGAAGGAGCAGCTCTGACAACTCCATCGAGTCTTGTGCACAGCGCAGCAGGAACTGCTCTGAAATCTGGGAGCCCCTGAGAAAATCAAGACGGTTGTCGGAGAACACTGCTAACCTTTGTCAGAGGGAAACTTCAGAACCTGATGAGGTCAATGCCACAGGCGAAACAATGGAGTCCTCTGAGGAGGATGTGACTCTGCCTGTGGAAAAGCGTCCCCCACTGGATCTGTGTGAGTTAACTGAAGGAGTAGCTGGAGAAGAAACAACAGCCTTGAATGAGAGTGAGATCAATACATCCACATGCAACGTCACTGCAGCTTCAGAACTTGCAACGGCAGAGGAAACGTCCTCTGAGGACAATGCGACTGTGCCTATGAAAAAGCGTTCCTACCTGGATCTGCGTGAGTTAACTGGAGGAGTAGATAGAGTTGACACAACTGTCACTGATGCAATTGAGATCACTACATCCACAGGTAACGTCACTGCAGCTTCAGAACTT